TCTTTAAGCCCAAGGTCCTTGAGTTTAGTTCCTATGTTTTCTTCTATGCATTTGATTGTTTCAGGTCTTATATTCAGGTCCTTAATCCATTTTGAGTTAATTTTGGTGTGTGGTGATTGAGAACAGTCTAGTTTCATTCTTTTGCAGGTAGTTTTCCAGAAAAACTACATATTTAAAAAACTATACATGCACAGCTTTGATAAAATAAGAATTAAATTTTAAAAGATTTACCTATTAAGCAAGAAATAAAAAAAAATTGTGCAGAATAATTCCTTAAAAAAAAACAACTGCGCACATATACAGGTAGACACGTTGATACAGCATAGAAAAAAGTCTAGAAGGATATAAAAACTTAACAGTGGTTATATTGTGGGGATAACATCAGAGAAAGACTTATTCTTTTATTTCACGTGTTTGAATGTGTTTCTGAATTGTTTGAATTGAAGGGCATGCTTACCTTTGTAATTAGAAAATAATGTTTAAAAATTGTGGGACAAATTAAAATAAAAAACAGAAAACAACCAGACTTACCAATTATTTTAGAGGAAACTTAAAATGATGCTTATAGGAAATAGAAAAACTAATTATCTAAAATAAGTGAGGAAACTGGACCAAGTCTACTAACTTTGTTTTTTCTCTCTTGTTTCATCTTGATTAACTGAATAACTGGCTCAATTTGTCAATTTCTTAAAACATCTAGAATCAAATTTTAGTTGCAAATCTAAAAAGTTCCAGCAACAGGGATTAGGAAATTTGGGGGCCTTTTGTAAATCCAGCTGCTTTTCTTCTTACTGGCAGCATATAATAAACAAAAATAATAAAAGATAACTAGCGGAATATTATTTATTAAAAGATAATGAGTGGAATATTATTATTAAAAGATGAGTGGAATATTATTTGTTCCCCTAATAGTGAAAATAGAATGACTAAATTAAATGGTTCATGATGAATGTTCTAGCACATTTTGGAATGAAGTCTAAGAGAAACTGAAGAGCCCTTAACTTCTTTCTTTTTAAAAACGACTTACACTTACAGAAAAATTGCAAGAACGGAACTACCGAATATAATTTATTCTAGTTCACCAATTTTTAACAGTTTGCTGCATTTACTTTATCATTCTCTCTAGATATTTTGATTTATTTTTTCTGAACCACTTAAGAATAGACTGTATACATCATGCCCCTTTACCTCTTTATACATTAATATTTACTATGACAAAAGATATTCCTTTATACAATCATCATACAGTTATCAAACGTGGGAGCTACTTTTATTTAATCTATGGTTCATATTCCAACTTTGTCAATTGTTTGAATAAATCTTTTTTAGTCTTCTTCTGTGGGCAAATTCCAGTTTATTGATTATGTAGCAACATTAGTTGTCGAGTCTCTTTAGTCTCTTTTAATACAGAAGTTAGTTCTTCAGCCAATTTTTTTTTTTTTTTGTCTTTCATGACAGTTATTTAATAGAATGTTCCTCAATGTGTGTTTGGTTGGTATTTCCCTATGATTAGATTCGAGGGATGTTATGTCTTTCTTGGGTTGTTATATTGGGAAGCACACTATCACTGATCAAAGTGTTGCCTAGTTTCCCTGTGGTATAGTCACTATTTCCCCTTCCAATAAATATACAATCTGTGGGGAGACACTAAAAACATGAAAATATGCTGCTTCTCATCAAACTTCCCCCCTAGATTTAGAATCCATTGACGATGTTTCCCCAAACCAATCTTTTCCATGATAGTTGGAAAATGGAGATCTTCCAACTCCACCGCTCTCTCTGTATTTATCAGGGGGCTATTTCTTTTAAGGAAGAGCTTACCCTTTCCTCCCATCTGTCCATCCATCCGTGTCTCTCTCTCTGTCTCTCTGTCTTGTCTGTCTCTCTCCTTTATCAGTACAGACGAATGAATTCTTACTCAGTGAATGACAATTCATTACTGTTCTTATCTTGACACTCTAAATAATTTTCCTAGATTTAGCCAATAAGAGGCCCTTCGAGCTGGCTCCTGTTATCATGCCCATTTTATTTTCTGAGCACTTCCTTATTTGTCACACAACAGGGTGTTCCAGGTCATCTTGTATCTTCCTGCCCTAGTCCTGAAATCAGCTGTTTCTCCAAGATTACTTTTCACGGGGAAAGGTATTTAGAAATGAAGATCTGGGCAAGGAGTCTTTAATCTTGAAGTTACTTTCAATCACAAAAATCAAGAGGAATATCTATTTTTACAAATCATCGTATTTATGGTTGATTTAGCTATTTCCTTTTTTTCCCTTTGTGGTAAGAAGGAAGGAAACTTGAAGCTTGATTTTTGGATTTTTTCTTATTTATTTTAATATATGATTAATTCTGGCAACAATTATTAGCAAAGAACACTCACTGCAATAGCAACTATGGATAAGTCTCTAGGTTGCTACTAAAATATAACATATCCTCAAAAGAAATTTGTGATGGAAGTCAACATGGGTTTTGAAATACTATAAGATAACCTGTGGAACCCTGAAGATAAGCATAATGAAATATGAGGCATCTCACTGAATTCATTTGAAAGAAATTGAATCACAGCTCTACAATATAACACTTTTTGCAGTTAGATGCTTGTTGCAAAAGATATTTTGCTTTTTCCAGTGGTGTAGTATGTTGAGAACTGCAGTGGTAACATCATGCATTATTATTTTTATGTGATAAAGGCAGATGTATTACAAAACATTTGAAATAGGTACATCAATTTCTACTTTAACTGAATGAAATTAAATTTGTACTCTTTCTCTTGGTAACAGATTTTTCAATAATGATATACTTTTGAAATACTGAAGATGAAATAAAAATCATATTTTATGTGTGATAGTACTAGGGGCAAAGACCAAACAATTTCTTTGTTCCATGTGGTTAGTATTCACTTCCAAACCCATCATTACATGGGAGTCACCTGGGACGCTTTTTAAAAATCCAAATATCTGAGCATCACTCTGGTACACTTAAACAGTATATCTCCCAATCCATGAATCTGTATTTTTAAAATTTCCCCAGATGATGCTCAGACATCTAATCACCATACTGATTTAGGAATTATTGAACATGGCAAAAAACATATTTATACCAGTGTGCAAGTCTCTTTATAGATATAAGTTGCCCAAGGGCAGGAACTGTGCTTATAAATTTTTATAAGCCCCGCACCTATTATGAGCCTTGTATGTAGCAGGCATTGGATACTTGCTTCAGAAAAGAATTTTGACTTCAAATTTTATTGGAGTCTTAATATTAGTTTGTACAGGGGATATAAACCCACTTTAATGTTATATATATTCATGTGACAGGAATCACCTTGCACAGCAGCCTGAAAGACAAAAATAATTGAATTGGTAGACTGATTTCTAATGCAGAATGTAGTTGTATTGTTATGACCCTGCATTCTGCTAACTTACTCTATGCTCTTGAAAAATAAAGAATACTCACACTTATAAGATTGGTTTAGTCTGTAAATTGTCTCTGTCTCTTTCCACTTCCCACTAAATGTTCTACTTGTTGCCAAAATGGTTAGACCAAAAAAAAAGATCCCATTGTAGCTTTTGTATGGTTTAAAACAGTGGTTATCAAAGTGTGTTCCGTGGACTCCTGTGGGTCCTGAAACCCTTTCTAGTGATCCATAAGGTTAAGACTTTTTTCCTAATAATAGTAAGCTGTTATTTGCCTTTATCACACCCGTTATCTGAGTATACAGTGGAGCTTTCCAGAGGCTACATGATGTGTGATATTGAAACAGATTAATAAAGATGAGAATCAGCTGTCTTCTATAAATAGACATTAAAGAAATTTACAAGGATGTAAAACCAGGCTGCTCTTCTATTTTTTTGGAAAACGATTATTATTCATAAAAATAGATTATTTGTCAATACATAATAGGCTTATTTTTTAAATGACTAAATAAGTGTCAAAATTTATTAAATTAGATGACTTTAATTCAAAAAAATTTCAAGGTCGAGAAACAAAAATTTTAACAGAAGCCTAACCCTAAACGCAGTTCAAAAGGAACAATTCTCAACTCATTATGGTCCAGTTTTTTTGTTTTTTGTTTTTGACTCCTTTTTGCTTAGCTAACACGAAAACAGGTACCAACGAGGTGGCAGAAAGCACCTATACTCCTTGTGTGTATGGCGAAGGTAATACCAGCGTAAAAGCCCCAGAGTTTCTGGGAGCTCTCCTGCTTTCCCGCCTAAACGAAGAGGAGGCGGTACCCGAAGCACCGGCACAGCGGGTTGCTTCTCTCATCCCTCCTCACTCTTTTTTCTCCATGCCCCTCCCACACGCGTTTCGCCACGCTCCCGACAGGCCCAGCGGCAAGGAGAGTCACGTGAAGCTGGGCGTTGGACGCTTGTGTCGGCTGTTTCTTCGTCTCTATGGTTTTCAGAGGTGGGCGGTTTTGACGCAGAATCCCTGGAGCTCGTGCGTGGACGGGTGAGTCCCGGACTTGGAAGGGTGTCAGGAGACAGCCATTCAGGGAGGGCGAAATGGAAGCGGGGTGGGGTGGGGGAACGAAACAGCTTTAGAGACCTGATCTCCGGGGTCGGCTGTTTGTCCGCTCTGGGATCAGGCGACTTCTAACTCGGTCAGGGGAATAGCTGTCTTTCGCTGATACATTCCGTTTAGGGGCTTGAGAGGAGTCGGTAGTCCTGCCTACTTCCTGTCCTCCGCTTTACTTCACTTCACTCGATCCCTTCTCTCTGTCCCGGGAGAACTTCTATCAGTGCCGAGTCGCTGGGTTCACTTGGGCGCCGACGTCCCTCTCCTCACGGGCGACCAGGAGACACAGGTAGACTTGATTGGTTCCCCTGTTATTTGTAGATGTGGTTGGAAGTGGTCGGGGAGTTAGTTTACAGTTAGATCTCTGATGGAGAGAAGTATTAATCATTGAAACGAAAAAAGAAGTGGAAAATCAGTGGAGACCCAAAGGAACAAAACAAACAGGCTTCTTGGACTGTTCTGTTTTTATCTTTTCAAGTGCCTTCCCGTTCTCATTCTTTAACTAGTTTCCTTCTCACCATCCCATCCTGGGCCACCATAGGATGTTTCAAGAATGAGCCAGGTGTTATTGCTTCTCTGTGAATGTTAGGAGAAGAGTTTGAAACGCACTGTTTTAAGTTGCAGTTTGTAGTCTTAATGTTTATGGTTTCTTTACCGTCTCTTTCAAATGCCTAAAAAAAGATTGTAGGTCTTTGTAAATGTGAGTAAAATAACCATTTTATAGCTACGGGACTAGAAATAAAATATTTTATTCTCCCCGTGGTACCTGGAAAGACCCATTTCTTTAACTGTAGGAGAGTTTAGGTTTCATTGAACCATATGTCAGATGAGTAAAATGTCATCATTTTCAGACATAGATGTTGGCCAGGATGACCAATCTGCTTTCTTTCTGGTGTTGGACAAGATAATGACGTGTTAAATATCGCCTATCCTAAAATCTTTTTAGAACCTACTGCCACTAGTCTGTGAAAAAGTGGCTCTTCTATTTAAGAACATCAATTTGGGCACCTAATTATGTCAAGAAAGTGTCAGTGACACCTTTTAAGCGTCCTTACTAAGGATTATAAAACAAAGTAATACTGACAAAAAGTAAAGATTCAGGAGTGGGTTGTGTGCCTGAGGAGGAAGAGAAAGAAAGAGTGATAGAAACTCATAAAAACTAAAGGAGAACAAAAGCATGTCTTGTTATCTTCCTTTATAATCTATAGGACATTTACTACATTCAGTAGATTTTTTTACAGTCTCAAGAAGTGCATCTTGAGACTGACTTTCCAATACTATTTAAGAATAAAACAATGGTGTGTAATTTCTCCCATAATGCAATCTGATGTAAAATTATTATAACTGAAAGATCTTATATTATTTAGAATTATAGGACTAAAGTAATTGGTAAAGTTATTAAAACTAATTTGGCCACTTTTAATCTTTAGTTTTATCTCTTGAGAAGTTTTACAATGGCTGCAGCACTTGCTCAACGTTAACCATTTTTTTCCATACAGTGTTGTTTAATATATCCCTTTTAAAAAGAGAATCAGTTTTTTAAAAAGTTTACTAACAACTTTTTTCCCCCACTCAAAACAAAAATAACTTGCTCTTGTACCAAGGGATAAGGTGGATTATTTTAAAATAGGTGTTCTCACTTTGGTAAATTATGAGGAAATTGTTAATGCTTTTAAGCTGTTAAGTATTGATATTTGAGCATATTTAAGAAGAAAACACATGGGCAGTATTTTTAAATGTTTTATATTTCCTATTATAAAAGTACTAGGTGTTTATTTTGAAAAAAATGGAAATATTATAGAAAATATAACACTGAAGGTCAGAATCCTAATTTATCTTTTCCCTTGCCACCTGGTAACCGCTAGTTTCCTTTCATATTTGGGAATCTGCGTGGAAAAGTAGAGTTGAGTCAGACTCCGTGGGGAAAGATGGTACTAATAGAAATAGGCTTACATCCTACAACCTTAGAAATCTCAAGAGAGAGAATATACTTCTCTTTCTCTGTGATTCCAGTGAACTACTATATGGGAGTCTCATTGGCCTGACTCGGGTCTTTGCCTGTCCTAGAGGCAACCTCTGTGGCCAGAGTGTTGGAATGCACTGTGTGGTCAGGATTGCATCTTGTTCCTACCCTGGATTGGGGTGCAGCAAGGGATACAGTTTCAAACCACATGAATTAAGGGTAGGGGGCATATAGTTCCTAAAGGAAAATTGAGGTGTCATTTCTTGGAGAAGGGAGAATGGTTGCTGGACAGGCAAAAACAACAAATGCTTACTAAAATAATTTTATATGTATTTGCTTTCCTTTCCCAATATAAATTAATTTTACAGTGTTGATTTTTACTTTTTTAATGTCTATTTTATTTATAGAACTGAAACTCTTCAAGTGCATATATTTGCACTGTTATTACTTGTCTGTACTCTTGCTCTAGCATATTCCGACTTTATTCTGACTTTAAATATTTTGTATATTTGGCCAATTTGTTAAAATTGATTATTGATAAATATTTTAATTACTGTGGGTGAATTTGATTAACAATTCAATGGACATTGGAACTTGAATTGCTAACATTGGTGGCACAGGCTTTGGTTTAGACAGATCTATATTCTAAAACCCAACTCCATCACTTCCGAATGTTGAGCAAGTTACTTAATCTCTGTGAATTTGAGTTTATTCCATTTGCAAAATGGAAGTGATAATACCTATCTCATAGGGATCTTGTGAGGATTAACTTGATAAATATATGCCAGGTGTCTTGGATCTAGATTCTTGTTAAATGTAATTGTTAATAACAATAACAAAAAATAATCTCTAAAAAGATTTTATTTTTCCAATTTCAGAATGTTTAGCCATGGGGAATTTAAAATATATAGGTCTGAGGAATTAACTATATTGTTCTTCATTCAGTTTGTCTTTATTTTAGCAGGTTTTTAAATTCCATATTGAATATATAACAATAAACTAGAAAACTTTGCTTAAACAAAATAATTATTAGTCGACTGCCCGAATATTTGAAGATTGCCCAATTTAAGTATGATAACTGTCATGCTGGGGGAATGTATTGAGAGACTTTTACACAAACTCTGAGCTAAGTAAAGTTTAATATTAAGTGGAAGATAGTACATTCTTTCATTATACAAGGGGAGCTAGGTGTTGAGCATCTTGGAAGTTTAGATCAGAATTTATGGCAACTTTTTGTAATAGGCAGAAATGATAAAAATGGATTTGTTTTTATTTTTAAGGATAAGTTAAATTCTGAAGAAGTAATGCTTTGAGAATATGATATGCTGGATACCTGCAGGTGGAAGAGATAACAGTTTAGAATGTTACTTGAAAAAACAAAGGCAACTGTGGAATTGAACAACTTGTGAGAAATTATTGACATTAAATATAATTAATGATCTGGCATTAGGAAATTAAATATTGCTGCATTAGGAAGAGAGGTGTTTTACCCCTGTTCATGAGAAGAGAAACAGCTAGAAATGGATTGATCTTTCCCCCCCAAACTTAATGATCAGTTTTTTTGCAAATTGTGAACATTTGCTAGGCTAACAAGTTCAAGGTGAGTTTTACTGACATGAAAAATTGAAACTTTAGTGTAATCTTTGAGAAATAGATCTTCATCATTCATGTCAGCTATACAAATAATATTTGCATTTTGCTTCAAAGTGATATAATGTTGGTCATTTAAAACTTAAAATGCCTATTCTAATAACCTTACTTGTTTAGACTTGGACAGTTGATGGATGTCTATTTGTAAGCACCAACTTTTAAATTATTTAGATTTTGCTTTTTCAAATTTATTCATTGAGCATTGGAATTAAATCAGCAAGCTACTTTTTTTCCTTTTAAAATATAAGCATCAGTACTTTGATTGTCTATTATCCTAGGAAGATTAAGTGAGCTTTCTATACCATGGCACATAAAGGGCATTAGAATCTAAGATCTAATACACCTTCCTAGTTTAGCTCTTATGTCTACTTTCTCTTCCTATTCCTCCTGCCATATTCTAGTCATAGTGAACTACTTTTTGCTCCCCCTACAAGCCAGGTGTTTTTGTGTCTTCTTTATGCCTTGGCATAGGCTGTTTGTTGTACTTGGAATGCCTCTCCACCGTCGTGCCATCCTCCAACTGGTGAGCTGCTACTCATCTTTAAAGTAGATTAATGAGTTATTCAATTTATAAAACTTCCCTCCGCTATCATATGTTTATATCCTTTGTAGTTCCCATAATTGTTTTTAGCTTTAAAAAATACTCTTATTTTGTCATGGTATTGTATGTATTTTCTGAGACTGAGTGATTCTTAATGCCAGAAACAAGTCTTATTCACAGTCATATCCTGACCACTCAACAGAATGCCTGTCATATATATACAAGCTCAGAACATGTTGGGTGAATAAATGAGTAAATAAGCTATTTCATCTGCTTTAAAAATCAGAATAGAAACAGAGTATAATCCAATAGGTTAGGTCTGCACTCTGATGCATTTAGAGAATTTACTTGAACACATCTAGAAAATTACATCTATACATCCTACCACACATCAATAAACATGTTTTATCTGTCTACTATGTACCAAAGCACTGGAGAGAGAGAGAGGAAAATCATATTCCATTCATCAAGGAGCCCACAGTCTAATGGTGGAGACAGATGAGTTGATAATTACAACTTAAATTTATGCTAATTAAAATGTAAAATTCAGTTCATCACTTTCATTAGACACATTCCAGGTGCTCAAAAGCCACATATGGCTAGTGTTTGCTGTATTGAACAGTACAGATATAAAACTTTCTATCATTGCAACATGTTCTATTTGACAGAGCTGTTTTAGCAACATTGTAAATATGCTTGAATCTACATTCTCTATTTTCAGATGATAGTTAATTTTCATTTCAGCTATGTACCTTCCTTGTTAAATAAAACTTACTTTTAAATTTAGAAATTGGATTTTTTAAAATATCAAGTAGATTCTATTATATTTCAAATAAAGCAGCATTGTTTATTTTCCTAGGTCTTTGATCTGTGGTAGCATTTAAATTAAGTGGTTTCAGAATTTGATTTTCAGCTTCAGCATTGATATTATCTTTCTATCCTAATAATTCCTGAGATGGTGAGGGAGCATAATGATTAGAGCAGTGACTTTGGGATCAGAGAAACTTTCCTCTGCCATCTACTGGCTGTGACCTTAAGTACGTTTCTTAAAAGTGGTGAGCTTTGGTGTCCTCCTCAGTGAAGTAGGAGTAATAATAATACTTACCTCAAGTGTTATTGAAGATTAAATAAGATA